AGTTCAAATATGCAAAATAGGTTTCATTTTATTTTCAGTAAACAAATAAAACTGCCTCTAATTTATACTAATATTATGACTAAAACTAAAAGCTCATATTTACTTGATGGAATTATTCAGAAAGCTACTGGACTAATCATGAAAATCTGACTTGCCTCTTGCTAAATATAAAGGAAAAACCTTTTTGTGGAGTGTTTGAACACCCCACATACTAACAGATGGTTAAAGATAATGATGATAGTTTCTAGATTATAAAATTTATACCTGTCTAGCCTAATCCATCAGTAAGGTATCAACTGCAATGATCAACTCTTTAATAATAAAAACTTCTAGAACTCAGGATGTTATAGAGATAAATGTTGATTCTCAAAATTAGTAACATTTATAATTACAAGCATTATAAAGGATGCACAGTGAAGTAATGGATAGCAGCTTGGATTGAGGAATTCTCCCGCCAGGATAGACCGAGTTCTATAGTCTTGGATGGCAATTGGTCTACCGCAGAAAGAAATGACAACCTAAATCTGCCTCGTCAGTCATGTATCAAAAGCACATAACTGATGAATTATAAAGATTTTCAATTCCAATGACCTGATCAGTCAATCTCTAAGAAAGTAACATGTTTTCAGCAAATATGCCCACAAATAAGACTGTTTTTTTTTTAAAAAAAAAAAACAAAAAGAATGATTTTTCCCAAACACTTTTTTTTAACTACCTTGATTCTTCGGCAATGCTTGTTTTAAAAAACAATGATTAGAATTGTAAGAAAACCTAAACACTATGTGAATTTATACATTTTCTTTGTTCTTGAGAATTTAAAACAAAAATATTAAGCACTATTTATTAGATTGTTTATTTACAAGAATCATTTTATATTTACAACATTCTAAAAACTAATAATACAATTAGAAGTAATGCAATATTTATCATTTACTAATTTATAATAAAGAAAGAAATGAGAAAATTTTTTTATTTATAAACATTTACTAAATTATTAAAATATATGAATCAACTATATGGAAATCCTTATTTGTCCTTTTATAAAGTTTGAATCAATTGACAATTAGTCAATGTTTTGCCAACCATTCTAATAAACAATATAATAGTGTAAACAAACAATCTAATAAATAGCGTTTATTACTTTTGTTATCAATTCTCAAGGACAATGTATGAATTTACTTTCATGTTTAGGCTTTATTACAATTCTAATCATCACTTTTTAAGATAATAAACTTTACCAAAAAGTGAAGATAGTTAAAAAAAAAAAAAAAGCAGTATCATGGGAAAAAAATGTCCTTTTGACACTGTTTTATTGCGGGCATGTTTGTCCATGTATGCCATGGTTTCTACAATGACCCCTTAAAATTTATGTGTGCTATTGTTTAGCTTTATTAAATTCAGAACATCTATGTTTGCTTTTATTTAGGTGTTATGCATCAGCTTTGGATTTTGATGTGTTATTTGTTGTAAAGTTTATTCCCCCACAAAAAGCAACATATTATAACATGCATATATAAATTTCACTGATGCTCATATCCTTCTGTTCTGCCTCTCTAACCATTTAATAATAATTCTTTTTTTTTAATTTGTTTAATATTTTTTTAAAAATCAAACAACAATAATTATTTGTTCTAAAAAGCAAAAACTTTAAAAAAAAAAAAATTACAAAATACATTAAAAAATAGATTTAAACAAATGAAAGTAAAAATGAGGGCATAATGCAGCATTTTTCAATCTGTGCACCTGGATGCAGCAATGTGCCCTGAAAGGCAACCAGGTGTGTCCTAAGGTAACAGAAGTGTAATTTATGAATTGCTTTTATATTTAAAAAAAATCTTTATTTTTAAAAAATTTTAAAGGTTTATGACACAAAGCACATGACTTATGTGTCTAAGTCAAGTTTTAGTCATTTGATATTTTAATCTGGATTCCAAATTCCTTAAATTTTAAGAAGGTGGTATAATCCTTTCCCTCTTCCTCAAGGGATTTAAATTAATCATTATCAGCCTCTCTAAAAATAGCAGAATTTTTCATAAATTCCTTTAAATGTAAACTGTACCACCAATATTTTTTGAGAATCCTAAACCCAAATTTTATATCTTCAAATTTCATTACTATTTTTTCCCTATTAAAATTGAAAGTGCACCCCAGAGTTTTAGTTATTCTACAAATGCGCTTTGAAGTAATAAAAGTTGAGAAACACTGTGAGACTTCTGATCAGGATAACAATAAGAGATGACTATGTTGCAAGGTATCCATTATATGGATTCATTAGAATAAACAAATAAGAATGGTTAAACCTTTAAAGTAATAAAAAAAAAACGAGTCATTAACAATGTTATAGATGTAGTCACTTCTACATCTATAACATTGTTAATGACTAGTTTTTTTTATTTTTATTTTTACACACACCTCCACAGAAATCAAGAAACCACCTTTTTTGCCATGTGTGCTTTACTGTTTGGCCACAGAAAGTCTCTACAGCAAAGCAAAGCACAATTACACTTTTTTATGAAAATGCACATCTCATGTTGGAATTTTCAATGTTTTGATCCACTAATTATATTTTCATATGCAATCTAAACACAGTAATTCATGTAACTGATTTTAATCCAGCATTTATATCCTACACATGTGCACATATACATACATGTACAGGCGTACACACACACTAGGCAGAAATCCATCTTTTATACAAGTTTCATTAAAAACGATTAACAAGGTACTGTGGTTAAGTTTTTTATTTCATTTTTCTTGAGTTACTATATTTTTTCTATTCTGGACATAAATTATGTAGAAATTGTCCAAATGTTCTGTATGTGTGAGTGCTCTCAGGCATACTTTTAGCCATTATCAAGGATGATTTTATTTTTACTTTTAAATGAATCTATGAATTTTTTTTAGATATGTATATCGAGTTATAAGAATGTTTTATTTTCCAAACACAGTCAGCACGTTGTGGCCATATTCATAGTTGATGCTATAGAAAGCATTATTAATAAAAAAAAAAGAAAAAGCCAACACTCAATAACGCCAACTATGAACAATTTCTGCATAATTTATGCCCAAAAAAGAAAAAATATTATAAAGACATAAGAGAAATTAAATAAAAAAAATTAACTGCAGTACCTTGTCAGTCATTTTTAACAAAACTTGTGTGTGTGTGTGTGTGTGTGTATATATATATATATATATATATATATATATAGTTAAATTCCCAGATCAATTCTGTGAACAAGACAGATTGGTGTAAAATGACAATTGGAAAAAAATCTTAGATTTTGCCAACACATTTCGTCTTTTTCAAGGCAAAAATGAAATCAAAATGTTTTTGTTGTTACAGTTACATTAAAAATTCAAATTTAAAAAGATAGACATTTCTGTCTAAGCCTTTTTTTCTGGTAAATTACCTTTATAGTAAGGGATTTTTTTTTTTTAACCAGAAAAAAGGCTTAGACAGAAGCGTCTATCTTTTTAAATTTGGATTTTTAATGTAACTATAACAAAAAAACATTTCGATTTCATTTTTGCCTTGAAAAAAGTCAGAAGACGAAATGCGTCAGCAAAATCTAAGATTTTTTTCCAATTGTCATTTTATACCATATATATATATATATATATATATATATATATATATATATAGTAAAATTGTCTTTAATCATGATATCTATATCTAGAAACCAGATCCACACAGAGTTAACATATGGACATTATCAAAGTATAATACTCGGATAACGTCAAAAACGTTAAAATTTACAAACCTATTTTATAACAGATAAGTGATTATATTTATGTTGAAAGCACAAAGGATGGAAACCAATCTAAAGAAAATAATTATAAAATTTAATTAACAATCAAGAAAGAATAGTTGTTTCAGTGAATATTTCAATGTTTATATATCATCTAGAATAAAAGTTAAACTGGTTTAACTTGTTAGTGAAATTTTTACATTCAGATGACTTCTATCCTTAATCTATATATAAAATTCTGTGACTACCATTAGTCCATCCTCACACCCTCTAAAATAGCCATACATTAACCAATCAAAAGTAAATTTTGGGGAAAACGCAAACAGGTAAGTGGTACAAAGTACAGTTTGTTTTATTAGGGAGTGTAACTTAGTACAATAAATTTTGATTATTTTTTTTGGAAAAATTAAGTTTTATTATTATTAAAAGTTTTTATTATTTAACATACAAAATACTCCTACTACTTTAAAAACTATTTAATACAATAACAAATAATTATTTAATAAAAATGCAATATTGTTTTTTTTTTTATATCTTAAGTTTTTATATATATAAGAACTCATTTTCCAGTTCTGTATTTGCAAGAACTATAAACCAATCATAAGGCCAAACACTTCAAAAAGTTAGAATTTGGCTCCAGAAAGAAATATTTATGCATGGCCAGTTGTATATTGCATGCTCAAGAGTAAGAAATCCCAAGAATTTATTTTTCATTGCTAAAAAGTAAAAAAAAAAAATTTCTTAAAAAATATTATTTACCAGGAAATCCTATGAAATGAAATGAAATTAAAGAAATTATTAAACTGCAAAGTAGGGTTTTTGTCAAAATATTTTCAAAACAGCTTATTCAAATTTTGTTGATTAGTTTGCGAAATTGAACGAAATGTAGTTTGCAAATCTCAACAAAAATGTTAGCAATAACTTCAGCAATAATAAATACTGGGAGGACTTCAACACATGTCAGTATGTTGCAAAAGATGTCTAGTGCTTTAAAAACTCTGTGTGCAACTATGGAGGACTGATCAATTGTATGCAGGATAGTTTTTGGAGAACTGATGCTCCACTTGTTAATACAACTGTACTGTTGGCATTCATTTAATACACTGATGTTACTTAAAGTCTTCATATATATATATATATATATATGTCAGCACTAATTTTTGTACGTGTCAATATCTGAAAGTTCATTCTTCTAGATATGATTTATTTAGATGCTGACATGTGGACAACTGGAAATAATAACTGGTATCATCAAGGAGTCAGCTGCGGTTCCAGCATGGATGTACTGGTTTCCAATTCCAGCTGCCTCAATTTCTGCAACAAAAGCAAAATAACAATTACTGAGACATTTATATTTTTGTGAATTGTTTTATTAATTACAAGTTATCCAGAATAGAGTTCAAATAGTTTCTAATTTCAACATTAATTAATTAAATATTAATTAAGGAAAATGAGACAAATATTAAAGAAAAAAATTGTTTTTTTCACCCTTACTTCTAGAGGTGTATGCTGTCATTTTTTGTAGTTGGGAAAAGGAGTATAAAAATACAATATATTCAAAATATATTTGTCAATCCTGTTACATAAGCACCAGCAAATAATGAATCTTTCTTAAATGACAACATTAAGATTAGAGTTACATAAAACAATTACACTTGATCAAAATCTGTCCAAATACCTAGACATCAAAATTATTTTTAAGTGATTCTTGTTCAGACTGAGAACTTTTCAGGATCTCTTATAAATGAGGATAAGTGCAAATGACTTGTTTATCCAAAGTGGAGAGAGAAAATTACCTCCCCACCACAAATCCAAATGAATGCCCTTGCTTTCTTGTTAATATCAAATTATATTTTCTTTTTGGCAATTAACCAAAGGCAAATGTGTTCCTTTGAATATTATTCCATAAATTATCTAAGCTAGTATCCTCATTTTTCTTGTTTTGATCGCCATAATTCAACCAACACATTCTCTAGCTTTGCTCAGGTGTTTTACATCAGGTATTCTTTGAACAGATTCTTCAATTTCATCCAGAATTTTGGTTTCTTTGTCAATTGTTGCCACTATTCTAATTAGAACCATTCACAGATCCAGACAAATATTTATTCCAAGTAAAAAAAATATTTTAATAACTAAAAATATAGTCTATTTTATTTATTATCATTAACCCAACAGCCATCCGGCCAAAATGGGCAAACAGAAGTTTAAAAATGTAACATAACATTATGTCAGCATAATGTAGAAAATAGGAATAATCAAAACACTGAATTAGAAAAATGTTTAAGGCAGTGGAAGAGGCCCAATTATACACAAGTACAATTACCATCTGCCAATATATTCAAAATGTATTTTGATCACCTTCTTGAAGACGTCTAAAGTCTTGACATTGACTGTGTACTACTCATTCACTACCCGCTATGAAAGAGAATATTTCTGTAGGTTCAGTCAATAGAGCAGAGGTTGAATTTTTAATGGATGTCCTCTGGTGGATTTATATTGGCTTTTAGTCAAATATTTCTAAAAAACTATGTCATCAATTGAATTTACTATTCTAAATACCTGTATTAAATCAAGTCTAAGACATTTAGTTTCAAGTGAGAAAAGGCCAAAGCTTTTAGATCTATTGGAGTAAAGAATAATTTTACTTTCAAGAATCATTTTGGTAAAGCATTTTTGTACTTCTAGCTGTTGTAAATCAGGCTGAATGTAAGCAATCACACACAAGAAACATCAACTAAAATAGGATGGACTAGTACTAAATAAAGCTTCAGAAAGGTTTCTTTATGTTATGCGGAAAAGGTACTTTGTATGTGATAAACGTTATTTTGGATATAGCTTCAGTGACGTGAAGATTTTAAATCAGAGGTTATAATTTCTCCAAAGTCCTTTTCTTTGATAGTGTTATGTATGACAGGTTCACCAAGAAGGAATTGAAGCTTTGAATTTTGATTCTCTAAATGCCTGACAGCACACTGACATGCTATATGATATAAACATATACTACTTTTTTTTTTAATCAATTTTACTCCAAGTAAGGCAGTAAAGCCACTAAGATATAAGGAGTTACTGGGTGTGGAAGAATTAGGAACAGGAACATTACTAATGAGTGGGAAGAGAAAAGAGTAATCAGGAGGACAGTAGATAGCAATTGAGATTGCATTTAAATTTTTGCAAATTAAAGGTTACTGGAAAGCATGGAGCTGGAAGGGAGTTCCACAAGTGAGAAGTGCAAACAAAGAAACTGTTTGCATAGAATTTATAGCTACATCTAACCAGCTCAACTGTAAATTGATGAGATCTCAACACTAGTCTAGTACTTCACATAAATTCAAAAAGTCTGGGTACTATAGCAAAGAGCATTATTTGTAAAAATTACAAAATGTTGCATAAGGCCAAAATAGACAATGGGGAAAAGGTTGGTCTTCTACTGTCCTAACATTAAACTTCACTAGCCACAGACACTGACCCAAACATACCACAATATTCCTTACACCAAAAGAACACATTCTTACTTACCTTACTACATCCACCATAATACCTCATTGTCTCTATGAAAGTCTTAACCAGTCCCCATATATACAATACATAGTCTGTGGGGATAGGGGAATAAAATAAAGAGCTCATATGAACAATTACCATGAAAGTGTTTATAGAAAAGACACAGGAAGACAACCTCACAACAGTGGGAAAGTGACTGAAACCAAGCTGCCAGTATTTATATTTATCAAGGAGCTTAAAGTAAATAACAGGGGTACAGGACCATATCTGGTAGCAATGTTCTAATCATGGACAAATGGCAGACTTATAGATATGTATGATAGATTGAGAGAAAAATTACCTTGTATGACACAGTGAACCAACTTTCTTAGTAGCTGACCTAGCAATGAATTCAATATGCAGTTGATCTTTGAAGGAGTTTAATCCATTAACATAGAGTTGATGCAAAACTGGACTATGTTTAAGGAATTGTACTATTTCAAATACAATGTCTCAATAAATCTATTTTTAAAATTCCATTAATGATCACAAGGTCTAGTGCTGTTAATGGTAAATATAGTGTAGGGATACAAAAGGTGATTTTCTCCCTTTGGCTGAGATGCAGTCACATGATCACATGACAGCTGCTTAGTGACATCCCCTTAAGTGACGAAAGTGCTCAGTCAGCTTCCAAGACTCAAACCAAGCAGTTGCTTTTTTTTTTTTTTTTACCATGAACAAGACCTTGCTTCACACGGACCAAGGCTAAATCTGCCTCTCCCAGGTGAGTTGTCAGAGGGTCATCTCACAATCCTATAGCACCATTTTTCTTTGGGAATATATCTTCACTGAAATAGAAACTCTCTGGCTCATGGTGCTCATATTGGGAAAAATCCATGACTTGCTGTTTTCTGTTTGAGGAATATGTCCTCACTTGTGACATAAAAACAAAATTTTTTGCCCATTTGAGAATCCTATCTAAGGCTTCTCCAGAAACACAGAAGGAATTATTACAAATAAGACTCTTCTTATCACCTTTTCACAATGCTTGTTGTTGCATACATGTGTTATAGTTTCTCTGTGTGGACACATGTGTTTGTTATTCTTTTTCTTTCAGCTATTCCATTCTGTTCATGAAATAAGGTGTCATGGATATAATAATGTCCACAATGGGGGAAATGTAAACTGAGAATATTCTTTTCTTCCATAGTTCACCCATTATCTGGTAACTTACCAGACTTTGATATTATTAACCCCCATTAATAGATAAAAATACAAACAAGACTGTTTACACAACAAAGAAGTGAGAAGGTTATGACTATTGTTACATCTGACCAAGGAACGTAGAATTATGAAAACTCTGAATAAAAATAATTGTTGTAACAGTTATTGTAGGGGCCAGTGTATGTGTTCCCAGACTTAGAGACTTTAGTACTTGGTAGTAGTAATAGGGTTAAAATTATTAGAATAATTTTTAATGTTCTGTAAACATATAGATTTGTCACATATATACATACATACATACATGACAGACTGGATCCAATAGCCTTGGGAAGCAACCACTCTAGGAGAAGGAGACTGAATTCAAAACCACCTACTGCCTTGTAGGTCCTGCCTCTTTAGGCAAAGACCAGAAGAAGGTAACTTTAAAAATAAATCAACCTCGGAAATGAGGGACAAGGTAACCTTAATATCCCCGGTGCAAAAGGAACTGGCAAACTACTGCACTATTCTGCTTTGAATATCACCATGAACCATAATTGTGAGATGGAGGGGAGTGGTGACTAGAGCAGCGGTGCAAAAGGAACTAGCAAGCCATTGCACTCTTCTGCCTTGAAAGTCACCATGAACCACAATTGTGAGATGGAGGGGAGTGGTGACTACAGCAGCGGTGCAAAATGAGATAACTGAATAAAATAAATGATACATACACGTGTTTAGCTGTAATTTCTGTGAATCTGCTACTACGTAACCCCTTATGGGTAAGGAAACTAGCACATCTTCTTTTAGCTACTGTCAGTTGAAGAGAAGAAGCAATACGGTAATATTATCTGTTCCCTACAACTAAACCTGAAATTCTCCTGAAAGACACCATCTGTCTCCTTTATCATTTTGAGTTTTACATATTTTTATTGTTTCTGTTTGAAAAGTGTTTGCCTTTTTTGTGCATTTCTTTGAAATGAATTTTGCTTGTCCATTTCCCCTTTCTGAGAGATATGTTTGTTATTTGTTTCTAGTTGGTGCATTTCCTGAATAAAAGGATAACATCGGTATGAAGTGCCAGACCTTTTTCATTAAGACCAGCAGTCAGTTACAGTTGTCATATAAAAAAAAAAAAGAGAAATTGTGTGTGGAGAGAGAATGCTAAAGTGAAAGAAAAAAACCCATAAATCATCAACAAATTCACTAATGGACCCAGAGTGAGTTAAAAGATCATAGAATAAAAGTTACATACTTGTTTGAGAGCAGAGAGTTCTTGAAAAAGAGCCTTTTTCTCACTTGAGGAAGCTTCTCCCAGGGTGGTTTTTACACTCAGTTTCTGAAATTACAATTCAAAGACTAGTTCAGATATGAAATAAATTCAGAAATCAAGATATATTTTTACTGTTTCAAGGTATACGCATCCAGCTTCTGTTCTAAATCTTGGTAAAAAATGATTTAGGGAAATTGCAATAAAAACCCTGCAGAATGACCGAGTGGTTTACAATTACTTTATATTTCTATTTGATAAAAACAAAAAAATCTAATGCAAAACAGAATGTAAACAAAGATGAGTTTTTATTCTGACTCTAGGAAAGTAGACTGTCAAAAATCATTCCTCCTGAGTTTAATTAAAAATTGTACCTTGACTAAGAACTGAATACTTCAATTTGAACCTGAACCTTCAATTTGAACATTGAAGACACAATGATCCCATTTTTTCAACCAACTGGGTTAATTCATTTTATATGAATGCTGCTCCAAAAGCATTGCCATCTATTGTTATGGTATATAGCAGTAGAGCTTGGACATTCAAACCAGTAGTACTGTTTTTTACTTTGTAGCAAATAGTAAATGAGTGGCAAACTGGTAAAACGATCTCAGGCATGAAAAGAAAGTAATGCCTCTTATTGTATTATGTTGGCCCTTGATGTCAGAGGCAGATGTTAGTAGGGATTGAACTTTCTCACTAAAATTTCATAGTTTTTGTTTTTGTCTTGTAACTAATAGCAGTTGAGCAGCAGTCTGGCAAAATGACCACCCACTCCCTGAAATTAAATGAGGGTTGCTCGAAAAGTATTGCCTTCTATTTTATTATGTTGTCCTTCACTATCAAAGATGGATGGTGTTGATATATCAGTAGAGGCTGAACCTTCCTGTGAATAAGCCAAAATCTTTTGCCTTGATACAGATAACAACTGACAAAATACTGTCTGACATAAAAGTGCATATGAATTAGAGATACATCATTGAATCTCTCCTGGTAGAAAAGATTGTACTCATTGACATTTATTGACACTTGCTGAATGTTTACAGAAACTAAACAGTGGATGTGAGCACAGCTAGATAATGAGTAACATGCTACAACAATGGTGACAGTGATACGTCACATTCAGGCCAATAACAGATGGACTATGCAGACTACATTTTCGATGATGTAATCACTGCTGTAAAAAAAAAGTCTGGTAGTTAAAAAATGTCCTATCCAATAAAGTTATTGTAGGCATAATATTTGTTGTTGCTTCTGGGGGTAAATAAATAAGAGACATTACTTTTGAAGTATCCATTGTACATATAGTAAGCCTATTCTGTCAATCATGTCTGCTTTAATGCCTGACCACTGACAATTCCTTTCTCACTCATTTTTTATGTACAATGTACAGATTGAGTGTTGAAAAAAATTTTAGGTCATAAAATTGTAAAATTTAGTTCCAAACATTAATTTCGTTTTAATACCCTCAGTTAAATTTAGTTTAATAGTTCTTGAAATGACTCAAGTACTTGAATTGTGGAATAGTGGCAAAATTAGTGGATAGCAAAAGAAAAGCCAACAATTTACCTGGTTACAGAACTTAAATGCAGTTGACACTAAAATACAATATTGGTACTATTATTTCATTTGCTCACTAACCCCAAAAGACTTCAATAAATTGCTTACAGTGAATGAAAGTTAAGACCTTGTGTATTTGCTTAATAAATCCTATTCCTGATATCATCGATTCTATAAATAAAAAAGCATCTAGCAGAACACCAAACTTATACCAACAAATCTATTGTTCTTCACTTTATGTGTAAAACATTTCATAATATAATCCTTAAAGAAATTGGAAGCCACATTTTCAGCCTAAACTGTACTTTAAAAGATTAAATTCCTAGATATTTATGAAAGGAACCATCTAATCTGCCAACTTTAATCAGTGTCTAAAATTATTCTCATGTAAACTTGCCAACACTTGCACACACAACAGATAAATTACAACATCCTGTTTTTGACATGTGATATATGCACAGAAACTAAGCCTGCAACAATTTGTCATTTTTTGGCATAAATTCCACTTACCTCATGATCAGACATTGGCTGGTCAATAAAGTGCTCAACAGAGTCTCCAAAACTGGCTGGCTGTTGACCCTTCCAGTAGCTCTCCCGTCCCCTAACAATTGAAGACTGTTCTCGAGAAATCGGCACAGGGCTATCAGCATTGGCTGGATCCAAGACATCAGATGTACGAGTGAAAGGGATGAAGTCATTCTGTGGTACTGGAGACACAAGAGGAATATTATCAGCATATTTATTGGGTTTTTTAACAGGTCTCCCTTGCTGATTGACAGATTTCATACGGTCATAATTGTAAGTGTCCGTTTGAATGCACAGTTCTCCTAAAAATGAAAACACCCAAGAGAAGAACAAGTTATTTCTTTATTGTAATACTTTTTTATCTAAAAAAAAAAAAAAAAAAAAAAATACCTACAAACTGTTGTTAACCAGGGCAAGGAATAGCTTGTTAATTTTAATGTCTCTAAAACTGCTCTCTTTTAATTGTCTCAGAGAACCCTTTTTGCCTTCCATCAGCATGGATAATCCTAACCTCCAGGAAAGTGATACAGTGTGCATGCTCGCGCTAACATTTTTCTACCAACGAAGTCAAAAGATTATACTGAATCAATTGCTAGGTCTGCTGCTTGGAAAGTTGGTTCACTGTGTCATGCTAGACAATTTTTCTCAAAAGAATTTATCTTACACATTTATAAGTCTACCATTTGCCCATCTATTCTGGTGCATCTGCTATATATTTAGAGATTCTTGATAAAATCCAAAGAAGAATCTGCAATATTACTGGTTCTGATCTGGCATCTTGGCTTCAGTCACTTTCCCACCGCTGTAATGTAGCTTCCCTGTGCCTTTTCTATAAGTATTTTCATGGTAATTGTTCTGATGAACTTTATTCTATGGTACCCAGACTTTAGGAATTTAAGCACATTGCTAGATTGGCAGCTAGGTCTCATCATTTTACAGTTGAAATGGCTAAATGTAATCATAAGTTCTATCATGTTCTTTCTTCTCTCATACTTTGCTTCTGGAACTCTCTTCTGGCTTCTTGCTTTCCAGTCAATCATTATCTTCTGTCTTTTTAATTCTTGTTCTTTTATTGTTCTCTCTCCTTAATATTTTTTTCTCATATTTTTTCACTCTCAGTAATCTCTTACATCTTAGTGGCTTTATTGCCTTGCTTAGGGTGAAAGGATTAAAAAAACTTTTAGTGACTAATCAGAGCATTATTCCTTAGTTATGATGTCAGGTTAAAATGATAATTTCTATTAATTTTTTTTAAAAAAAAAAGAAGACATTATCTACTGTTAGAAGGTATTTATTTGGGAGCCATAATGCTGAATTAAAATGATATTGTCTCTTTTTTTACATAGATATTGATAGGGCAACCACTTTGTGACATTATTCATTCTTACTACGTGGATGACATTAGATTTTATGATAAACAAGAATACAGGGTGCGATGGGTAAATTGTCGCCATTTTATATTTTTAATTTCATTTATGTGTATTGTTTGTTTTTGATTTTGTTGACTGCACAGTATAGTAGGGAAAGTTGGGCACCACCTGCGAGAAAAAGAGAACCATGACGCAATTCAATCCACCAGAAATTTGGAAACAAAATACTGTACTGATTAGCATTCATACTGGAAGCCCCATATACGAATATTTCAGAGTGTTTGTGTGTCAATCTGAGGACAGTGCAGAAGATTCAGAAAAAGCTTGATGAATCTAATCATGATTCCGAAGGTACTCCAGCTCGGAAAACTTTGATTGTTCTGGTAAGAAAAGAACTCCCAAATTTGTTGATGAGGGCCGCAGATTCAACACAGAGGCTTACATCAAGTGCCATGAAAAGGTAGCCCTGCCCTGGATCAAGAAGGTGGCTGCTGGAAAACCCTACGTCTAGCAACAAGACTATGCCATGCAACACCAACAGGAGAATCCAGTCATGGCTGTCAGGCAATTCCTGCTACCACATCTGGTCACATGACTACAAACCATTGATTATGATGTGTGGGGCACAGTTGAGTGAAAAACCAACAAAACTCTTTGTTACACCAAAGATGAACTGAAGGCAAGGATGGATTATGGCAGTATTCACCAACTTAAACAAGGAAACCATCCAGAAGAGTTGCAGGAGATTCTAAAGTTGTCTGGAGGCCATGGTTGTAGTCAATGGCAATTTTATTGAATAAATTTACACGTTGGTATTTCATCAGTTCTAAGAGATATAGTCATCTAATTTAAATCATATTACTTACCTTTATCAATCTCTTGCCTGGCTCCTTGAAGTTTTCTTCTTACAGCCGGTACAGGTGGAGACATTCCTCGAGGACTTCTGTTCATCACTGGTTCTTTTTGAGGTTTAAGTGTTGCTGTCTTTTTCCTTAGAGCAGGCACTGGAGGTGAAGGTTCCCTCTGTATTTTGTCTTTTATCTTCAGATCTTTAACTTGTTTTGCATCTGATTTTATGGAAGATTGATTGTATCCAGCTTTGACTTGGCGAGACATTCTCTCTTGTTGTCCACCCAAATGAGGCTTCTGACTCACAGAACTTTGTTTTGATGGCTGGTTTGTGCTGCTGGGATCTTTTGAAGCACCAGTTCCAGATTTAAATTTAGGGGAAATTTCTTTTTTGTTTGTGGAACCCATGGCCCCAATTTTTGAATTTGGAACTTTTTTCTCTGTGCCTTGCCTTGCTACATAATTTTTTTTCACTGGCTTTTTACCTGAATGAAAAAAAAGAATTTCCTAAGTCTTTGCAAAGAGGAAATGCTATGCATACTTTATAAATATTGTGAAAAAGTAGAACAATGACAATAATTTTTCTCTCCAGAATCTATCTTATATTTCTATAAGTCTACAATTCAGCCATGCTTTGTATATTGCTGCCACATATTGTCCGATGCATTTAGAGAATCTTGATAAAATCTAAAGAAGAATCAACAATATTATTGGTCTTGAGGTGGATCTTGGTTTCAGTCACTAGTAGCTTCCCTGTGCCTTTTCTATAAATATTTTCATAGTAATTGTTCAGATGAACTCTTTGCTATGGTACCTAGACTTTATGAATTTAGCAACAAGGTATCAGTTTACAGTTGAATTGGTTAGATGTAACTAAGTTCTGCTAAATTTATTTTCTAGCACTTCTCACTTGTGGAACTCTCTTCCTGATTACTCTTCTATCAATGTTACTCATTAATAATGTTTTTTCTTTTTCCTATTCTTTCACACTCGGTAACCCCTTCTATCTTAGTGGCTTTACTGTCATGCATGGAGTGAAATGATTTTAAAATAATAATAATAATAATAATAATAATGTCAGGTATAATTTTTTTTTTTTTTAATGGAGATAAAAAATATAGGAATTAAAATCTTGAATTATTCCACAAATTATTCAGACAAATGTTTTCAGCTTTGTTGTTTTAATCACTGTTTTGGCTGGTATACCTTCCAAATTTCCTCAAATGAATATTGCAACCAATAATTTTCAAGTAGTTTTTAAGTGAATTCCTTATCTTATCCACATTTTTTTTTTCTTAATTTTCATCACCATTTCAATACAAACAATTTATAAATCTAAGCAAGAAAGATTCATACAACACTGGGTATTTTTTTTTTTTACTTTGAATAATTCATGAATTCATAAAAAGACTTCATTTCCAAGCTTCAGGCAAAATCTTCAGAGTTCTAATATTGAAAAAAGAAATGTTTAAAAATAATTTCTTATTTTTTTTTTTTTACTAGTGTTCATAATATTTTGATCTGAACTATTGAATCATTTACTCTTTTTAAAGCGCTACTAGACTACTAGAAAGTTCTAATATCTTTTCATTTTTCAAGGTTGACTGGCATAAGGCAAATTCTTCCTTATATTAGGTCAGAACAAAAGTTAGTGGCATTTTTAAGTGAATTTCAAAGACAATATTTAGAATTAAAAATAAGTGCCTAAGGTGACTAAAAAATATATTTGAGATGATGAAGATGTTGGTATTGAAGGACTTTAAACAATTTAACAAAATTATATGTTAAAACTGACAGGTTATTCTTGTTTTTATACTGTTTCATGCAGTTCTTATAGTTATATAAATAGATGATGAAAACGGTTAGAAATTGCAATTTTTAAATAAGCGACCTTTTCAATTAAGCATCCTCCTTCAAGCAACATTTTTGAATAAGTAACCCAGGTGCTAAATCAAGCATTTAGAGTATTTGTACATAGATTTATTCAACCATATATGTGCCATTTTGTGCATTTTGCCATCTTTGATTCCATTCTCCCAGAACTTCACAACTTTCTGGATAATGTTTTTACAGGTTTCCAGAGAAGTGGAGATCATCCCATTAAGAGAATTTTGTAAGGATCAAAATAAGTGGTAATTCAAAGGTACAAGATCAGGTGAATATAATGGGTGTTGTAGGACATATCCAGCCAAACTGTACCAATTTCTATTGGATCTTCAAAAAAAATGGAATCTGGCAATGTCCTAATGGAAAATGGCACCCTTTCGAATGGCTCATCCTAAACACTTTTCATTTTTTAATTTTAAGTTTCTGCTTTTAATTAGCTCAACTGGGATAAGTACTTGACATCTGACTTTGCAAATAGGGCTCATAATACACAATGCCCTACCGATCCCACCAGATACATAGTACCACCATCTTCAGACACAGACCAGATTTTGGAGTGGTTAACAATGGTTCATTTCACTTTCCTTAGGACCTTTTTCACACCACATTGTTGTAAACAATCTTTTTTCATTGCCTGTAGTTGTTTTTGTTGTGTTTAAGTAGACAATTGCAGAATGAGGCACCCAAGCATCATAGTTATTCATATATCCAAGTGTTTTCAAATGCTTTACAATGCTCACGAGATATATGGAGTATCTTTGCTATGTCTGGTCTTATTTGATCTAGATCATTTTTAACCAGTGTTTTGATTTGGTCATCATCAGATCTGCCAGATTAAAATTTCCACTTATGAATACTACTTTCCATAAATGGCACATATCTATTTTCTTGTTTGTATAGCATTTTTTCCCTTTCTGGGAATAAAAGAGCATCAAATGATGAAAACACATCTTGTTTTCATCTATTTTAGTTTTTTAATGTAAAAGCATTTAAAATTCATAATCGACACATGAAGCATATAGAATTTTGTGTTGAAATGTCACCTTTCAGAATATGTATATATGTCAAATTTCAGCTATGCATGAAAGAAGATGCCACTGCTTGAAAAACAAAAACGGATTTTTTTTCCAACCTAATATTTCCAGAATACATTTCTAAAATGTTCACATTAACCATATTGCAATTTTCCAGAGGCATTGCCATTTTGGTTTCATTTGGATACCCAGCAGTACAGACGAAGCTAAAAGACACCTCCAGCCCACAATAAAAATATGTCACAAAACTGGTTGTATTGTATGCTACTATATATCTTTGCTGGTTTAGAAATAGCACTAAGCTCTACTTAGTTCAGGGAATAAATGCTAGGGCCTGACATTTCATGATTCTTGAAAACATATCAACAGAAGACAATGTAAGTTTCGCAAAGACATAAGTATGTCTTAAAAATGCTTATAAGCATTGACAGAAGGTTTCATCGAGGTTTTTACAGCAGTGGAATTGTTAATGGAAGAATGTTGGGTTAAGTGCATTGACAAAGGAGAAGATTATCCTGAAAAATAAATATTTGCTGTGTAAAATAAATGCTTTTTTCACCATTAGGCTACAAATTAATTGAAATACCTATATATTGTATAACCAAAGCCATTAAATATTGCATCATTTTTACATTTTTTAAATATGGGTGTACATTTGTTATTGGTCAGCAATGACATAACTAAGAAACAGTTAAAAGTAAAATACTTACCTGTGTATGACAAATACATAAAAGCTAGTTTCTTAATATTGGGTGGTCAGATGAATTTGTTTGTTTTTTCTATTTATTTTAATGCTATTAGTCATCAACAATTTTAACAAATGCGTCAATAACAAAAAAATGAAATACTTTGCATGTTAATTTAAATAACTTTGAAAAAAAATGGACAACTTTTTCTGACAACCAAACAAATGTTTTGAAACAGTTTCTATAGTATTATATATATATATATAGATGGAGAAAAGTTTCAAACAATACAGGGGACATTAAAAGATAAGATCAAAGGCTTCATTGCCTGCACTTTCTCTAACCAATCCTAATTATTTTATTACTCCTTAAGCAAAGGAAGATATTTTTTTTCTACTAATCCAAGAAGAATTTGGATTACTACCACACACAAAAAACAATGGTTAAACATGAGAAAACATGAGGAAAAAATTATTTCCTTTAAATAATATGTGAAAATAACCATTCTTCACATGATAAAGGTCATGCGACTCGAAACTTGTGTAGCAAAAAAATATGGAAAATAAAGTATAATATATATTTAAAAATATCCACATTATAACCAGAAACGTCTGTAACTTCTCTTGCTGGAATGACTATAATCATATATATATATATATATATATATATATATATATATATATATTTAGTGTATTTGGGCAGCAATCCTCTTTTGTACAAGTTTTATTAAAAACAACTAACAAAGTACTGTGGTTAACATTTTTATCTAATTTTTCTTGTATTCATACAAGTTTTTTTTTTCTTTACTGGACATATAATGTGTAAAAACACATTCCCATAATTCTAGAAACATTAATAAAAATATACATGTTCAGTTAAAATTAGAAATCAGCCTTATTAATGGCTAAAAGAAGAGCTGAAAACGATTGTACATACAGAACATCAGACATTTTTACACACTATGCCCAAAAAAGCAAAAACTTATATGAGCACAAGAAAAATTAAACAAAAAGCTTAACCACAATACCTTATCAGTTCTCTTTAATGAAACTTATATATATATATATATATATATATATATATATATATGAGAAAATCTGCAGTCAATTGCTGAAATCTCCTGATGAGTGGATGAAACAATTGCTTTGTCTATGAAACTCCATAGTATGAATCAGATAAGTGCAGAAAATATATGTGCGTGTGTGCAGAAAGAGAGTGATAGAATCTATTGGGTTGTCAGATAAATTTGTTCATTGTTTCCCATTTATTTTAATCCTGTTATTCATCAACAATTTTAATGAATCAGCCAATAATATAAAACAATAAACACAAGTTGTAGAGTTGAAAATATAGCTACAAAAAAACAAAACACTACAGTAAAAACATTTTGCCTTCGAATTCAAATAATATTGGAAAAAATGAGTGAATTGATCTTACAACACAATAGTAACAAATTTACTTACCATTCGGATTTTGATAACCCCAAGTTGGTCTGTCCTGTATTTTAATGGGTTTCTTCCCTTTCATTCCAGATGGTCTGACATTTGTGATATTGGTCTTCTCTGGAAACTTTTCATTGTTAGTTTCTTCTTCAAATTCATATTCTATTTCAACATCACTCAATTCACATTTAGACAGCAGGCAGTAATCTGAAATAATTATATGATAATAGATACACAAACAAATAAATCTAAAACACACATACAGTTGTCTCTTGTCATGCATGGTGAACAGATTTGAAGAACCCCCAGTAATACTAACATATGTGGATGCTCAAGTAATTTATGTAAAATGACATAGTATTTCCATATAATTTACATATATATTCCCATATAATTTAAATTAAATTTAGATTATTCATAAATACAATGCAGATATAAACAAAAACATACAGAACACAAATTAACACCTGACAAAAAAAATAACTTGTATAGAAGTAAGTTTTTAAAAGTTGTTGCATCATTCCTGAGAAGAATGATTCAAGAAAATCCTGATATAAAAAAAGTTTTTTTATAATTTATAGAAACAAAAAATAGTTGTGCAAAATGATAGTTTCAAAAGTTGTTTGCATATTAAGAATTTAACTATCATAATTAGCTTAAAAATTCTTGGTGACATTATATATATATATATATATATATATATATATATATATATATATATAGTTTATTTTCACTGTCAAGAAAGGGCAATATTATTATGATCATTTAATTCTTAAGATGCAAACAACTTTTCATATATATATATATATATATATATATATATATATATATATACACACACACAAATGATGGACTCTCCCGTCGTTTTCGACGTATGAGTGTCTTTCAGTTTAGTTTTTAATCCTGTCACCGTCGACTTAACTCTCTCGACATTGGACTTATTGATCAGGTGGAATAGCAAAGACGGAAGACAGAATTGAACTGCAGACAATCCACAAAAAAGATTTGTTTAGAGTGGTGAAGGCTTGTGTAGAACCAGTCACACTTATTGGAAGTGCTGATAACAAGGAGTTGGTGAAAATATTTGCCACAAACCCAATGAACAACACACCTCAAGTTTTATTATCACAGAATTATACCTCTTCGGTACTACCAGTGCACAGAAGAGCGCAGCGCCTTTTGATGGTAATTTCACGTGATTTAGCCCACCTCCTGAAGTGGTTTACAGGGTTTGGTGCATGGAGGGATGGGGATAATTTCTCTCTCTCTTACACAAACACACATATGTATATATATATATATATATATATATATATATATATATATATATGATAAAAACCGATTTATTATTACTATTTATTGAGATATGTATATGTATATACAGGGTGGCAGAAAAACCTCCCATATAATGGTATGCCATTACCTAGATGAAGACATCATTACCACTAATGTTTAACGAGTACATGGGAGGCATTTCTGTCGCACTATATATATATATATATATATATATATATATATATATATATGAGAAATTAAAACAAATTTATTGTAACTGTTTAAACACTCACACACATATATATATATAAAAGAAATATGTTGTAGTGGTTCCAACGAGAGAAAAGTATGTATATTAAAAAGAAGAGAAGAGAGGTGCCGCAAACGTTTTTGGTTGTAATGTGGATTTATTTAGAAAAAATATTATGCTTTGTTTTACATAATTTTACTACGACACATGTTTCTGGTCTCACGACCGTCTTCAGGTAAAAGTGGAGATTTCTACATATTATTAAAAATAATATTATTAAAAATAATTAATTTTTCTTCATGTTCAATGTGAGATATTCTCGATATGAGACATTCTCTGTTTGTGTGTTGGTAATCCGATCGAGAATATCTCACATTGAACATGAAGAAAAATTAATTATTTTTAATAATATTATTTTTAATAATATGTAGAAATTCCACTTTTACCTCAAGATATATATATATATATATACACACACACCCACCCACATATATATACACACACCCACCTATATATATATATATATATATATATATATATATATATATATATGTGTGTGTGTGTATATATATATATACACACCCCCACACCTAATAAGAACCTTTAACACAACCTTTAAAAATTTAAATCAAACTCAGCGTTGCTACTGGCGCTCAAAAACAATAACTCATTTTCAATAGCATTTTCGGATACAACAATACATATATTTTCGTTGTCCTCTTATTACTAAGAGAAAAAACAAGAACAACATCTATTCTATACCTGAAGATGTCTGTAGGAACAGACGAAAGCTTGTAGTAAAAATAAGAACTAATATGGCAGAAATTTATGGAAACAAGGATCAATTCATTCATAACGGATTCGGAGATTTTTGTATATTATTTGAATTGTTTGCGATGATGGATTTCTCGCCAATTAAATCATTAACCTTTGCTTTTGTTTTTGTGTGAATGATTCATGAATTTGTAAATTGATTGCACGTTTATCGTAATATATATAGATATATATATATACACACACACACACACACACATATATATATGTAAACATATATAAAAACATGCAAATAATATATATATATATATATATATATAGACACATAAACATTATATATATATATATATATATATGCACACACACACACATATATATATATATATATACACACACACACAGAGAAATATATATGTATATGTATATGAAAATATGTAAATATCAAGTGAAATATTATTAATTAAAATCTGGGATTAGTTTAGGACAAAGTGAAAAACTGAAAATAATTCATGTTTACATTCACTCAGTATGAAGTATTCTCAAAAGTTTGAAGATTTTGAACAGACAGATCAATATTTCCATTTGTCATAAGTTCTGAATGAATATTTCGCACATCTCTCAAAAGCACTCTCTGAGAAAATAAAAAAAATAACTAATTTTCTATCAATTTTTTTCTTTCTTTGAAGAAGCCATTTTGTATGATAAGCTCTATAAGGAAAACAAAAAACTCATTTTCTGTCAATTCTTTCTTTGAAGAAGCCATTCTATATCATGTTCATTGAAATTACGAAAGAAACTTTTAATATATATATGTATGCTGTGATTTGAATAAAATGTGCTCATATACATTAATAGAATGGTAGAAAGGGATTCTTGATCTAGTTTGGTTGACATTATTTTCACTCTTTAAGAAAATAAATAACAAAAACAAGAATATCAACTCAAACACATGTACCCAATAAAAATAATGCTGGATAAAAAAAAATCCATTCAAAAATTACAGTATTTATGTTTCAGGTGCAAAAATGATGCTAAAAGTTGTGGATTCAAAGAAGTCCTGATGAGAGATGTACATTCCTTAAGTAGGTAATTTAGCTTTGCTTTATCAAGATGGTCACCTGTAGTCAAATTGGTAACAACACATTTCAGCTATAGGAGTGATTTCCTTGATAGAAAATGTGATACAGGTTCAATCACTCTCAGGAAACATTTTTCTTTAGTAGGACTTCTCAATCTATATCAGTTGATATTAATAACATTGTATTAAAAAAAAAACCCAGAGATGTCAACTAACACATGTACCCACCTCAAATAATGTTTATAGTATAAGAAATAACATTGGATAAAAAATTCATTTAAAAATTACATTGATAAAAGTCAATAATATCACTATTTCCAAGCCTTAACTTTAATAGCAAATAAATTTAAGTACTTTTGGTGAAATCTGCAATGTAATTGGTTCTGACCTGGCATCTCACCTTCAGGCACTTTCCCCACCACCACCATAATGTAGCTTCTCTGTGCCTTTTCTATAAATACTTTCATGGTAATTGTTCTGATGAACTTTCCTTTATGAATTTAAGCACAGTAATACTTTGGTGGCTAGGTTTCATCTTTTTACAGTTGATGTAACAGTAAGTTGCATAAGCCACAGTGTGTGTATATTATATATATATATATATATATATATATATATATATATATATATATATATACACACACACACACACACACACATGCATGCTAATGTCTGCATAGTTTACTTGCACATTAATTTATTGTTAATTCTGTACATTTAACCGAAGTTTTTCTAGCATGGATTACTGAATGATGGAGTTTGTCCACTTTTCAAAAAAATTTATATATATATATATATATATATATATATATATATATATATATATATATAATCAACTTATATTAAGTTAAAACTTTATAGTTGTTTCAAACTCCCTGTCCATAACCCTTTCTCTGATCCATAATGCTTCTCCTTTGTATCCTGAATTTTTTTTTCTCTCTTCTAGATAAGTTGCCCATTGCATGTGCCCACACTTATAACCACCTACCATACTAATTCAAATAGAGATGAACATGCATCCCTCGAGCAACCCTCATAACACCCACTTTTCCTAATGGGTCTTTTAATCCTCAAGTACATGAGGGAGCTTGTCTTGGTGCCTTTATGTTTCTGACCCAAGGTGGAATTGCCTTGACTTCTGGGCAAGTGCAACATGTCCACTCAGAGCATCACACATGTATCTTTTCTTGGTTGATTGTCACTTCATTAAGGGTCCAAGAAGTAGACGTTTTCTGAGTTTTTAGTATTATCTGCATGTTAGTCATCTAAACCTTCAAGTAACTTCAAAGGAGGCTATCCTATCAGCAGGTGTATAATATTGGGGTTATTGTAATGATATTTTGTGCAGTAGTCTCTGGTAGGGCCTCTCAATGCCATGATGAAGATACAACTGTATCTCTGGACGATTCTCCCCAAGTTATTTATACATGCAACTCCTGCAGGTGTGTCTCTCTACCTACAAGTCTTCCAATAACTAATTCATACATGAAACAAATCAAAATGCAAATGAAGAAAACTAGTAAACCCAACCTTAAAAAAAAAAATGTAGACCACCCATGTACCATCTCCTACATCAACGTGAGGGGTCTCTATTCCAACTTTCCAAAAGTGGAACACCATCTTCTTCAATCCAATCTGTTACTTTCTGAAACTGATAGCAATGCTTCAAGTGCACTAGGGGAGCTACTCACCCCTTATAGCTAAACATGACCACCTAAATTGTCACAGCCATGGACTCTGAGCTTACATCAAGGACAAGTTTTCCTGTGGCAGGGATGCAAAAAATGAGGAACCTGATTTCTCATATATGTGCTTCCACATATCCATAGTATCACATTCACCTTTGCTCTTTATTGGCCTCAGGACAAAGGGACGGTAATCTTCGACCAAATATCTGAGAAGATTTATAATATCCTCACTCAATTTCCCTCAGCCAATTTTCATATATGTGGTGACTTCAATATCACCATAAAGAAGGGCTAGTTCACAGCAACAAAACCAATATTGAAGGCAGATATTGCAGAGACTTCTCCATCACATATGTTCTAACCCAGATCATTGGAGAACCTACCCATGTACCAGACATGATGGGACATCAGGCAAACCTCCTCAACCTCTTCCTAACCTCCTGCCCTGATAAATGCTTATCAAAAGTTTTACCTCCACTAGGCACATCAGACCATTCCCTAATCTATAACCAGATTGATGCTAAACCTAAGGCATCCCCTGATGTACCATTCCATGATTTGCTATGCAAAAGCAGGCTGGGACAGCTTTCGATCTTACATGATAGAAGCTCCCAACCTTCTTCAAGCATGCTGCCTTCAAAACTGCTGCCCTTGTCATTGATTGGATCCTTTCTGGAATGGAGAGTTTTATACAAAAAAAAAAAAAAAAAAAAAAAAAAAAAAAAAAAGAATTCCAGCAAAAACCAAACAGTCAACACTGGTTGCACTGCAGCCATAACTCACTGAAAGCATTACTTCAATTCCACAAGTAGTGATGTAATTCGGCCTTAACAACACTCATAACTGCCTGCAATTGCTGCAAAACGGTTCAAGAAAACACCAAGTGCAGCTATGCACAAGCAGTTCAGACCAATGTTGAAAAGAAACAAACTAGATCCCATGAATTCTGGAAGATTACCAACAAAATCATGAACAGAGGTAAAGCGTCTGTGCCCACAATTATAAATGGGTCTGAGGTCATATCATCCTCGACAGATAAGGTGAACTTCTTCACCTCTATCTTTGCCTCTAACTCAATGTTAGATGACAAAGACCATCCCCTCCCCAACTTCCCACATCTCAATGAGCACAATCTCAGTAATATTACTATTAACGTATAAAAAGTCTCTAGACTTATCAAAGGTGTTGCCCCTAAGGAAGCCACTGGCTCAGACAAAATTCCTTGTCCTTAAGAATATCAACCCCAAATTATCCCCAATCCTAGTAAAATTATTCAACTGCTGCTTTAAGGAGAAATCTTTCCTAAGCCTGTGGAAGGTGTCAAGCATATGCCTGCTTTTCAAGAATGTACCTTCCAGTACAGACCCATCTGTCTCCTCTGTAAGGTTTTTGAGGCCATCATCAATAAGGTCATCAAGCACCTAGAAAAGAACAACCTCTTCAGCGATGAGAAGTATCAGTTTCGGTTGGCCTGATACACTGCCAACATCCTAACTGCCATGACTCACAGAATCAGTGAGGCTTTTGACAACAAACAAACCTCAAGGACCATATCATTAGATATCTCAAAGGCCTTTGACATGGAGTGGTACAAAGTTTTACTACACAAGTTCTCCCGTTATGGAATCACTAGACGGGCCTTTTTGATCCTAAAATCCTTCCTAACAGATAAGTCCCTTAATGGCCAGTCCTCCAGAATCCTAGCGGTCAATGCAGGTGTCTCCCAGGGGTCATTCCTCAGACCAACCCTTTGTTTGGACTTCATAAATGATCTCCCTAAGAATATACTCTGATCATTTGTAAACATCTATGCCATTGATACAACTATATATGGGCACACCTCTAAAACTCTCAATGGTCAGAGATTGGTGACTGATATCTCTTCCAATCTTGCACAAACTACCCAATGGGGTAGAAACTGGCTGGTTACATCCAATGCCTTGAAAACCAAGATAATTACATTCCATCATCATTGATCTGACCCTGAACTACGACCTGTCACGATGAATGGATGTCCTCTCAGGGAAGTACTGTGCCTTGAAAGACTGTTGGGCCTCAAACTCACTCAATCTTAACCTGTTCAAGGCTAGGGTTAACCATTATTTTCCACTCCAATATGCACAATTGGCCTCCTAATGTAACTCCCAACCTCAAGTGGCTCGCAAGGCTTGTAAAAGATGTACTTTACTGTAAAAAAAAAAAAAAAAAAAAAAGTTCTATGATGACAGTTTCTTTTATCGCTGCACTTCTCACTTGTGGAAGTCTTTCCAGCTTCTTATTTCCCAGTCAACTTTGATCTCCACAAATTTAAATGCAATGTTAATTGTTATCTGCTGTCTTCTTAATTCTTATTTTTTTCTGCTTAATAGTGTTTTTTTCTCATATTCTCTAACACTCAGTAACCCTTTGTGTCTTAGTAGCTTTATTGCCTTGCTTGGAATGAAATGATTAAAAAAATGCATTATATAGTCTCACCTGTTTGAGAAGCAAAATCTCTCAGTTTTGATTGACCAGATAACTGGTCTTGCAGTCCATCTTGAGTATTGGACAAGGTTTGACTGGGATTGCAAATAGTGACATCAGATGTTGAAGATGCAGCATACTTGGTATCTTTGGACTGCCAGGAGGACAATGATTTGCAAGTGGCTGTAAGTAATTAACAATAATACATCATATAATAGCAGGGTATTTAATAACAAAAGATATAAAGAGTAAAGTCTAACAGAAAAACAAGATTTTATTCATACTATATACAGGTAATGAATGGCTTCAGTGAAATACCCGTGACTCTTTTATTATAGTTATCTCATGTTGAAACACGGGTTCTTGTATGATCACCAAAATTAAGCAACATCAAGCCTGGCCAGTACCTAGATGGGTGACCACTTGGGAATACCAGGTTCTCTAAGCTTGGATGTGCAGTTGGTGTAATGGATAATGGCTTGTATTGGAAATAAGAGTGCAGTGTTCCAATGCCTATTGGGTTCATTATACTCAATTACACACAAATACCCTAGGGAAAGGTATGAATCCACCTCCTCTCCCTCCAGCTATAGGTTGATTAGTAGAGCTTGTATCAGTAGAAATTGTTATCATCTAAAAAAAAAAAAAAAAAAAAAATCTTACAATCTGAAAATATTTTCTGGCTTTAAATAACCTGCAAAAAGGTCAATAAGCCATAAAAAACAAATCATTCAATCTTAGCTCTTTTAAAGACTAAAAGAAAAAGTATTTTTATAAGCAAACTAATAAAGAGATAGTGTCACAAAAAAACTTTGAGGAAAGTTATTCAACTATGATAGTAATAATGACTGGTTGCTCATTTTTTCCAGTTACACCCATTTGCTAGGATAGCTAACTAATCCCTGTTGTAGACACCCATTCAAGCACACTTGTATTTCTTCATAATCCAAAATGATCAGAAGTTGAATAATGCTAGTATGCTGAAACCCTCAGTCATGATGATGACATGTAACTTTGATGCTAGCACAACCATTGATGGCTCCCGAAACATTCCATCTACCCAATTTTATTCACAAGGCTTAGGTTAACCCATAACTTGGTTTTCAAGCACTACCCAATTGTGTTATATGCTGAGATCATCTGCCCAGGTTGATATTGTCAATAAGTCACCTCATTAATTTAAATTAATCATGGGCAGATTCAAACCTGTGTCTTATGGTCAGAACACTAACATTCTAACCACTCAGCCATTAATTGCACTATAAAAAGCTTCTTGGTAGAATAAAATGCAATGAGGAAATACAGAGATGAAGCAATTATAAATCAAATAGACTGGCTCAGCACAGGCTAATGGTTAGTGAGCTGGTCTAGCAAACTTACTATTGTGTAGAAAGTTTGATTTTCAATGGGTGCTCCAAACTTGAAGCTTTTTGCCAAAGTAAGCTAAACTTATAGTATTTATAGATCAAATGAATATCCAATTTCCAAACACTTGCCTCTATCATACTTCATAGCAAGTGGCTGTTCACTGACGTCATGATTTTTTTAAGATAGTCATTTATGGAACAAACTTCCAAGAGAATGCTTCCTCAAACAATACAATCTTAACCACTTCAAGTCTAAGGTCAACTGTTACCTATACTTCATATCTTCATAATTTGTACTTCTTCCTACATCCATAAAACAACCCCATTTGGTAACGCTCTACCTTGAGTGGCTCTTAGGCCTTGTATTGATTGAGCATTTAGTAAAAAAAAAAAAAAAAAAAAAAAAATGAAGAATAACTGTTTAGATTTTTGAGACAAGAAATCATTAAGCTTCAGCTAGCATCTGCAGACTTGTCTATTGATCTTTATATAAACCATGTCTGTTTAGTAAAGTCTATGATTTACCAAGTGCAAATTTCAGGAAGTTTCAGTTGATAATAATGTCAAAATAAAAATGTCAATCACAACATGGCTGTAATCTTTTTCCCCCTCTTATTGATGATTGTTTCCAATGAAAGTTCAAATCATTTACATTCAAGATGACTGCTGAAAATGCCAGGAATTATGATAAATACAACAAACATTCTTTTTTTTTAAATTTCATTTACTTATTGACAGTTTATATTGCTTTATAAATGTACAGATTTATTTTATTTATATGCATTTATTTACATTCATTATCAATTTTAGAAAAATGTCATGATTTATGAATAAAACAAAGAAAAGTAAAAACAAAGAAAAGTAAAAACAAAAAAATTTTCCTGAATTTATAATTTCAAGATTTCACCTAAATACAACTGTTACTTCAAATTACCTCTCTTTCTCTCTCTCTCTTATGCACACATCACACACAAAAAGGAGATGGTGAAAAGTTCTTACCCTGATGCACTTCCCAAAATTTGATTAAATATTAAATTTTGATGTGGGAAGGGCTTCTTGGTCATGGTGAGAAAATTTTAGCATCCCTATCAGAAAATTGTATACCTGCAATGCCAATTTCACAGCCATGTATAACCACATCAATACCGACTTCCTTATTTCATCCATTAGAAACTACCTTCTAAGTTTTGAATCGACTGAATGCATACATGTAATAACGGAAATGTATCAATCTACGAAATCTTACATGTCTGTTGAGGGCCAGAGTACAAAAACATTTCAAACCTCATTAAGAATACAACAAATAGGAAATGAGATCCCTGGTTTATTCAAACTTTACATAGACTTTGCCCTGCAAATTTACCTACACAGATGGAAAGTGATGGGTACTGATCATTTAAGCATTCTATATGACATCTCGAATGAATCTACCTAATAGAAGACAATGATCATGCTTTCCCTCCTGAAACCAATGTACTGATTTGTAGTTGAGATAAGAATAATCTTGAACAAAGAATCAACATCCTCCACCAAGTGTTCCAAGAAATAGGACTCAAGATAAACCTTTCCAATGCTAAAAATATGATCTGAAATTGGAATGAAAGCAGTGATGGTACATACTTTGAATCCATCATAAAAATTCAGGATGTGGAATTAGTAAATACTAAACCCATGTGTTTGAGTTGACATACCTTGGTGTATGGATCAGTTAGAACAAATTTAGTATAGGAGAAAAGGAGATTGAATATAGAACAGGTTGCACTAGAGGTAGTTTCACCCAACACAACAAATTACTACAAAATCAAAACATTAACCTGAAAACTTGAGTCATGTTCTTAAATAGACTTAACAAATTCAGACTTTCATATGAATGTCATGCATGGCACCAAACCTGATCAGAAATATCTAAACTCTCATCTGTATACAACTGCTTTCTAAGATCAATGGTTAAAAATGGCTTTGAGAAGGTGAAGCCTGTGGACCAAGACCATCCTTCTTTGAACATTGCATACTAGCATTCCAGACTCACAAACAAAGGACTGCACCAAATAACAGAGACCAAATTAGTTGAGGACTATCAACAGCAGCAACAACTAAAATGGATAGCACATGTAACTAGAAGAGAAAATAACAGTGTCAAGAGGACGTTATTTCCTTGACACAACTATTACAGTATACACTTTTGACTCCCTCAGCAACATTTATTTACAAGATTATAAAAATGTGTGAACCAAATACAATATAGTATTTTATTATTTACCTTTTATCAAGATTTTTTATTTACCATTTCATAAATAAATAAAGTTGAAAAGAAATCTTTTTGTTCAAAAATTTATAAAAAATTATCAAAATATGTAAATCAACTACCATGCAATATTTATTATTAACCATTTTATAAATAACTATGAAAACAAATTTTTTTATTCATAACTTTATAAAAATATCAATGAACTATAACACAAAAAAATTTGAATAAAAATATGATATCATCTATTTTTAAATCAATAAATATTGTCAAGGGTACAACCATCTTTTTGACTGTTTCTTTGTAAGTGGGAGGGTTAAACATTGCCAAATAATGATATAATTTAGATGTTAACATACAAGACTATTTCAAATAAAAGGTTAGAAAGGAAACCCCAATCAATACTGGAAAGAGCGACAACAACGACTGGACATAAACCTATTTTCCTGAAAAATTGTTTTTTTAGAAAAATTTTATAAATTTCAATTACTGCTCAGTCAATGAATTCTAAATATTTCCTTGTAGGGAAACAGTGAATATTACAATTACCATATCTATGTGTGTAGATAGATAGATAAAAGTTCACAGGATTTATCATCCAATTTCAAATTTTTGCAAATACACTGTTCCAATCATCAGGGTAAGAAAAATCTATTGAATTCAATATACAGTGTTATAGATAAGTGATCATACAGAATTCAATATACAGTGATATATATAAGTGATCATACAGCAAACAAATGCTTGTTATTCTCACTTATAGTGAATGAAAACCTTGAATAACAATGTTATATATGTATTTTGGGGCACAGAATCAGAATCTGCAATTTAAAATTAGAAATTCATTGGTAAGTGATAGTTATGCAAATTTTTATATTTCGAATAGTAGAAAAAGTGTTCATACAGTATTAATTTTTGCATTATAATACAGTAGATTTTGGTTGTACTTCAAAGTAGAAGATTCTAAACTGTTCTACAATATTTTCAGTAACTCTATTACAACATTCAGTTCAAAATTGGATCATTCTGCAGTCACTGTTCACTGATAATGGTTCTAATAATGGCTAGACGTAAGGAAATGACTTGTGCTCAAAAGGAGCTAATTATTAAGCTATGGAACAATGGAAAAACTTACAGAAACATCTCCAGTGACACGAACATACCTTTTTCAACAATTGGTTCATTTATTGCAAGATTTAAAAGATGTTGAGAACAAAGGGCAGACCCGGTGCTCCCAGGAAGATCTCTCCCAGATTACGAAGAAAGTTGATGTGACAAATCCAAAATAACCCAATGGCCATCAGACAAAACCTTCAGAATGATATGAGTTTGTCAGGAGTTAACATAACTAAGCAAATGATTAGTAATGAACTACGCAGACACCGCTCCTTCTGAAACAGCATAGAGATGCCAGGTTGAAATTTGCAACAGAGCATAAAGATAAGGAAAATTCTTATTGGGAAAGAGTTCTTTGGACAGATGAGAGTAAAATTGAATTGTTCAGTCGCAATTCCCTGAATCATGTATGGAGGAAAGACATACACACCCAAGAACACCATATCAACTGTCAA